GTTGAATGTTTGTCTGTGATTTGTGCATATCGAGATCCTCGTGGGTTCCAACACGCTTACCCCGCCGGACTTTGACGAGTACCTCTCCTGGACTCTCCCTGATGGATTCGTCAATCCAGTAGGTCACCGGTACCTCATCAAAGGTAAGGTTTTGCCCACATGCAGCTCGTCAAAGTTCGACACGTGCCCAGAGTCACGCACATGTCCTCTCTCCTCGAGGCACTGAACATGTCGTGCACTCTCGCAAACTCCGGTGATGGGGTCAACCGTCGGGCTATGTCACCGACTCGGTAGAGAATCCCAAAAGAACCAACAAAGTGTGGTTGATACTTCCTCTCTTCCCAGAATCCGAGGCGTACAACACCTCTTTCCATACTCAAAACCTTGTACGGTAACATCGAGATCGCCGCTCATTAGCCATCGCTACAACGTACTTTCCCATGGTAAGAAATTTCACACAACATACCTATCAAGTACACCGGACTCCTACCAGTCTCTCAGGGTCTCGACAGCTTGTCCTAAACACCCAACTAAATGGACGTGCTACGCAGTGCCAAGTTTGGTCTCGTGCCCGGGTCACATTGACAACTTGCCCACGATCTCAAAGTGATCCGTGCCTCCGTATCAGACGGGCAACCACGGAACCCCATACGAACGACTAAAAATCATCAATAACACCATATCCTCAACACTGATACCTTCAGAACACACGGTTCTGTTTGATACAGTTGTCAAAGCCTCATCATTGCCGACAAGAGTAACAACTCGTATGCGGTTTAGGAAGTATCGACTAGATATTCAGAAACGATCTCCCATCGCAAAAATGGTCTCTCAAATAGGGATGCTCGAGAATCCCATACTAATGATCTAAAAGGGCATAGCCAGTCCGGGGTTAAATGCACTGTCACCCGAGAGATGTCATACACAGTGGCGCTGCATAAGCGGGGCGCTGGGACGTGTGCGTACATTTATTCGGAAACCAGCTACAAGGTCAAGGTTCGGCCGTACAAACTGGCTTGGGGAGTTCCTGCTTTCGGTGATGGTGGCTGCAGCTCACGTGCGAGTCAACGATCGACCCTGCTGTAATGCCCCGTTTAATTTTGAATAATATTGGAATTATTTGGAATTATTATATTGCATTGTTATTATTATTATTATTATTATTATTATTATTATTATTATTA